AATTTGGAAAATAACCAACAAAAAATCCCCAAATCTAATCAAAACTCTAACAGTATCCAGAGTAAGCCAAAAGTAACTTCCTCTGTAGCACTATTAACTGGCTGGTATGTGCACAACATGCCAAAGAAAAAAGGTGTACTACTACTGAAGCACTATCATGTAAGGAAGAACAGCATTTCCACTACATGAAATACATCTAGGAACATAAAAAACAATGCTGTGTGCTGCTATACCTGCAAGTATGGTCCCATTTGTAAAGAGCTGGAGGTAAAATCATTTTAATGGCAACTCTTACTGTGGCATTACCCTTTTCTYCTTACACCTGCTGTCAAGTTTGCTACACCACTTTACAAAACCATCCAGACTGCTACTTTCTCTCATCAGCAGTTTATCCCCTGAAGTGAGAAGACTGAACCCATATGATTTAGTATTTACCAGGATCCAGTGCATCTGGCCTCCAYCTGTTCCCAGCAGCTCCAAGCATATTGCTCTCAGCTTTGCCTAAACACTTTTAAAGGGTTTGGTTTTGGAGGTCTGGTTTGTTTGGGTTTTTTAAACAGCAGCTGCTAGAGATTCACACAGCATACAAACAATACCTTGGTGTGGAAAAAAATATGAACTGAGAAAACTATTAACTTTTCCTACAGTTACTGAAACAGAGTTTTCTTTTACGTAAAACTCTTACACAAAGTAGCTTTTTTCATGCTTTGACACATGTACATCACCTCCTGGTTTGAAATCTCTAATCTGAGCACACACRTAACCTTAAAGACATTCTCAGGTAAAAGTAAAGTTGCCAATTACACACTCTGTTTGCTCAGATATTCACAGAATTCCATGAAAAGAAAGTTTTCTCCAACTCATGATCTACTAAAAAACTGAGTCCCGTTTTTCTTTTTAAATATTGATGGGAAATTGAGTAACTAAAAATTGACAAGGTACATGGTCATATCATATCCAGAGAAATTAAGCCAGACAAAAACAATATCATGGRCTTTACTGAAGTAAGAATTTCAAATGAGGTACAGTAGAACGTGCCTATGACAATGGGAAGGGGAAAGGAGAACAAAGGTGAAAATKAAAACTTGACCCCAAAAATAACTGTACTTCTGCTCAAAGACAAAAGTTATTTTCTCACTGAAAATCTGAACTTCATACTGACTTGTCACATGCTGAATATAAGCAGATTCATTTTTCAGCTCCTCTTGCCTTCGCTTTGATACTTTCCCAGCTCGCTGCTGAAGAAGTGCATGTACAGCCCATTCCAGTTCATTAATGTCCTTCAGCTGAAATACAGTAAACACTATCAGGTTTTCAACTTACTTAAATCCCACAAGAATTGAACAAAAACCAATTTTCATGGGTTTTTCATATAGCTGTGAAATTAGAATGGAAGTATCATAGATTGACAAGTAAGCTCCTGATCATTGCAGTTTTTCAGGCTTTTTTATAAGGCTGAAAACACAAACTAAATGCCAGTTACTCATCAAAGACTAGAACTTCATACAAAAGKATTGACACTGTTGGCATCCCTTGTTTTATTTCAGTTTGAGACATTACCCACTGAAGAAAATGTATTCGTTAACTAATATTTCTTCTCTTTGAAATGACYTGAAGAAATTCACAACTGCAAAGTGACACAAAATTTAATTAAAATTATATTTGATTCTGAYAGAACTGATTTTTAACTGGGTGGTATGTCCTATCCTTGTTTGACAAAATGCACCTTTATCACCTTAAAAAAAAAAAGAAAAAAAAAAGAAAATGTACATACTTTTTCATTCAAACAGTTTATCAGGTTTTCTACATATGTTTTCATGGCCCTRTAGAATTTGTAATTCAGAGCTGCATCCGAAGACTTCTCTAACTCTTGAACACACATCTTTGAGCTCTCAATATCCTCCATATATTTTTCATACTCTCTCTGGTGAGCACGGTGCACATCCTGTAAGGACGTTATCCTAAAAGAGAGAAACCCAGACAATCAGAACTATTGCCAACTTAACAGCTGATGCATTCCAAAACATTTTTCCCGTTATATTCACATACGAAATCCATGCCTGTGCTAATAATAGCACTTCCATTTGACCCGAGCAGCACTGTAAGATTTACCCATGGCAACATTTGCAGAAGCACAGGGTGTGGACAAACATCCTGCTTTGGAGACCCAAATTTTATTCATGTGGGGCTGGTTTTGAAAGCACCACTGATACTTTACCTGGACTCTTCAATGCACCACACTTCCCAAAAAACATAAAAACCAAATTATGTGATATCCCATAATTCTATGCAATGTTATCTGGGGAAAACTACAGCCCACATCATCATGTCCATAACTGTATTATAAGTTGCATGGACAGAAGTACCTGTAAGTATTCACAAGGTGCTCACTGCTAAATACAAACCAAGAACTCTTACTAGGATATGATAAAATCCACAACTTATTTCACCTCTCTGAAATGAACATTTCCCAGAGAAAACAGCTGAACTAAGATATTGTGTTCTAGTGTTCTACAAGTTAAAAAGAAAAAAATAATCATCTATCTCAACACTTACACTAAGAACATCTACAAAGTTTACACCAAACTCCCTTCCCCTTTTTGCTGTTTTCCAGACAAATTTCCCACTCTTGACAGTTGTATTCTTATGGTACTTATTTGATTTTGTATGTCAATTCCTACTTCAGTTAACTGAATTCCCTTCAAGTGATTAAAGCTAAGAAAGCACACMATTTCAAAATATATGTAGTCCAACTTAGTTTCAACTTGCTAAACAAATGCATCAGTGATGGTCTGTACAAAGCAAAGCATTATACAGAGAAAGCTTGGTGCAAGTTCCCAGCACAAATTGAAGTTTCAGTTGTATTAAGTTACTTGTCTAAACTTATCTGAACAGCTGCTTCCCAGTGCTGGGAGGGATGACAGGGAATGGCTTACCTTGGGATGCCTGACCCCAGCTGTCCTTCCCACATACCCTCTAGGAGCTTCCCACGTCCAAGCCAGGACATTTCAGCTGCCCACACAGCAGCTGAGCTGCTCAAGCAAAGTCACAGCCTGGCACACAGCTAAAGAACAGGATCCAGGCACGTTCTGAACAGGCTGTAGAGAACTTGGGCTGCTTTAGGAAAYACTGGGCTATTTTTGCAGCTGTTATAACAACAACCAGAGGAGGGGTGTGAGTGCCAGCTCCACCTGCCCCCAGGGAAGTTCTGCTTGCTGGGCAAACCTAACTTCAAGCCAAGGATCCTGTCAAAAACTGCAAGTATAAAAAACTGCTGCCAAATACATAAATTTACTTTCTAAAGTTCAAGTTGACAAAAATACTCTTGGAAAGTCCAAATGCTCCCTTACGAAAAAACACTGCCAGGTAAAAAAATCTGTAGTACTCCATTAGACACCACTATATATGTAAACAACCCTCTGGAAAAAAAAAATGACACTTCAAAGCTGTTGTCTTATTCTGTGACAAAAATTCAGACAGCTCAAGAGTTACCTTTCAGTCAGCCGTTTCTTCACAATTTCCAGATTCACAGGTGGTAGAGAAACAGAGGTATCAAACTTGGGTTTGGCTGGTTGATATTTATGCACAGAAGCATCATCACAAATTTCCTACAAGAATTAAGTGTCAATTTTTAATACATCATTTACACAATCGCTCCATTTGCAACTCTACAGATCAACACGACCTATCATTTGAATACTAAATGTTTGATACGAAGATACATACTTTAATCACAAAAAAATCCAGACAAAACCCAATCAATTCAAGCAYGAAGTCCATAACTGACAAGGTCTACTGCTAAAAAATGCTGCAGTTACCTGAACAGTAGCATTAAGTTTTCCAGAAACAAGTAGAGTACAAGGACCTAAAARCATATCATATCCTACTGGATTTGAACACCAGTCTCAGAAAGATGCAACTTTCTCCCATTCCTCTACTCCCCAAATTTCTATAACTGTCAATTCTGACATAAGGAGCTGGTTATACAGATACTCCTAGTCTGACCCAAAGTGATCCAAGCCAGTAACAAAACTTCCAGCACATCAGAATATAGTTTATTTCTGACAATTATTTACTGGGAAAAAGGCAGCATTCTCCTGAACTTYGAAGAGAGCTTTCAGATTGCCACTCAACAGAAATTCAGCAGAATAAAAGAATAATTTTTGCTTTGCAACATTTGTATTATTTGCAAACTCTTGCTTGCAGGATCCCTTGCATGGCAGCAAAAAAAAAAAACCAGAGTTCAGAATTTTCTTCCCTGCTTCTTGTGATCTCTTATCACCAACAGGTACCTTTGGGGCTGACACCACCATGCTGCTTCTCAACAGCCAGASAGAGATTACAGATTTTCATCATCATCTTCCCTTATCTCTAATCATCCTTTCCCTGAACCATCAGGGAATAATTTCCTAAAATCCTGTATAATGAGAGGGCCAGGAAGGAGATACAACAGTTCTCCAGACAAGCACTCTTGCCTACGAGCAAAAAGCAACAGTGGTTAGGAAAGCATGTGTCACCTGAGAGAGTTTAACAGCTTTCTTGATTTGCTGTTCTTCCCACTTGGCTTCATCGTCACTTGATCCATCACCCACAGACACTGGAAGTTAAAACAACCATTATTAGATGTAACTATGCCCTTTATTTTTTCCCCTCTCGTGTTCTGCTCCATCTAAAGCACCAATGGGTCTCCCAAACTCTACTGGGAAGTGATACGCACAAAAAAGAGCAGATGAAAAACCTGCAGATGGAGGACTTCAAAACCGAAAGGCAAGGAAGACTTGGAAAGGTCTACTGGGATTTGTAGAATTCACACCAACATTAATTTCCTCAACAGTTTCTCAAACAACTCCTACTGCAGTAGGAGGCACACAAACATCTTGTTTTTATGTCTCAAAGCAAAGCTGTGTATAATACATGTAAACAAGAGTGTAAGTATAGACTGTGACATTACACCCAACAAACCCTTGAGCATTCCAAAACATACACTCCACTAAAGATACAAAAATATCTCATTAACATTGATTTGAATAGCAGATTCTGCTCACAGTTACACATTCCTTATAGCCCTTATTCAAATAGTAAAATAAACCAGTGCTTCATAAACAACATCATAAGCAGCTCTAAGAGAATAACAGCAATGGAAAAGCCAGTTATGTTTTGCATGCAGTAGGCTTGTTTACTTCTGAAGGGCTGGAATGCTGGTTTGTTTGCTTGTTTTTCATTTTTCAAGAGGAGTTACAATGTCAATGCAGGGAGAGCACTTGGAAGACCAGACCAGAAGCAGGAGGGAGGACTTACAATAAAAGTACCTTCTTCTACAAGGCCATTTTTTTGCAGTCAGCAAGGCCAAAAACAACTTTTTTAACATTTCTCCAAGTATCCTGCACCACCAAAAGTGAGAYCTAAACCCGATTAATGACCCATATAAACCTCAAGTACCAACTACACAGCCTTTTTCCAGGAGCCCTGAGGAGCAAAGCCTCATCCTTAGTGGAAAAGTCACACATGGTTCCAGAGACTAAAACAAACTCACCCATCTCTTCAGTCATCCTCTGCCTAAGAGTTCTCATTTTAGGAGCAAAATCAAGATTCTTTGTTTCAGACTCATCTTCACTCTCCAAATCACTGCTTCCTCTTCTCTGAGGGACCTGAGGACTGTTTGACACATCCAGGGGAAGATAATCAGCCTCTGTTCTGGCTAAGTGACGCTTCCTCCGAGCAGCCTCAAYGTGAGCTGCACTGGGGATACTGCCTGCATCAAAGAGAGAGAAAATCTAAGCAAAAGACTAAAAGCAACACTCTGTATCTAATGTGAATCATCACAACTGTTCACCACCACTGAACAACTCTGGATACAGAACACAATGTGGTTTTCAACCATGTTGAATTCAAGAAGACAGAAAATGCATCCTTACTAAGAAGTGCTCATTTCAAAAACAAAGCTCAGACAYTTTTCTTTCAAATAAATCAGTGTTAGCCTGTCCTCTGTTTTTCTGTCTCCCTAAAAGATCAGGATTAGGTGACTTGGTGCACTTACAAAGGAATCTAAAGTTTACAAATCAGCCTCCAAGTGAAGTTTTATTTTCATCGCATGAGGGGAATTGTGCATCACTAAAGAGGAATTTTCTTCTGCCTCTCTTCTGTAACCAGTGCTCATAATTTCTGCTCTATTTCCAAAATTAGCATAGGAGGACAAAAATTGTTTGCAACTAAAAATATGGGGGAACCATCACTACTCTTCCAGAAGGGTAGCCCTGACTCAGGATAAACAGATGCCTACACCTTAGGTGGTTTAAGCTAAGTGGGACTCATCTCACCTAACTTGTCATGTACTTCAAACACAGAATGTTCCAAAATAGGTTTCTTAAAAAAAAAAAAAATCAGGGAACTAACCTGGTGATAAATCCKTCCTCCTCTGTGGAGAGGTGGATTCATTTTCAGAGTCTGAGCTGTTGTAGTCCTCATTCAGTGAAGAATAAGTTTCATCCTCATTCTCYTCCTCCTCTTCACGAGTGTCTTTGGTGCTGCCAATTGCAGGCTCCAACTGACAGACTTCTGTATTAGGGAGAAAATGATCCATTATTTCAGTTTCAGCTGCTGCAACATGATGTGCCTTAACTGGTTACCAGACATTATTTACACCTTACTGCAGCAAAGACTAGTCACTTGTCTATCTCGGCCTGTTTTCATCAAAACATGTCAAACTGTAACATTCCAAAACAGTCATTTACAAGCCAGTTCTTGTGTTGAATAAAAAGCATCTTTGATGATGTTTCCTATAGAAAGACTATGAGTCCTTCTGAGACACAGAGCGTGTTTACATACACAAAAGCAATGAGATCAGCTCCCAGATAACAACTAATTAATATTCTGATTGCTCACAGCATACTTGGATTCTTTATATGAAAAACTGCATTTAGAAAGCACTTATTTTGAAGCATTAACAATGAGGGGGCTCTTAGTTAAACTATAAACATTTATATCTGTCTTGTCTCCAGTTATTATCAAATTCTTTTAAAACATTGATTTCTCTTCATCTGCCACAACACTTTCAGCAAATCATCACATTAGTGAACAAGAGAATGTACCACCTTTTATAAGAATATGATATGCTTTTGTAAGAAGTTATTAAGAAAATTTAGCATCTCATCCAAATCATGACCTCAAAGGGAATTATTMCTCAATCCAACTTACTTTTATCTATCGTCAGCAAAAACTGCTTATTTGTGAATTGACAGGGGTGTCAAAATGGGAATACAGAAAGAGAACATTTAGACGAATTTGTAAAACAAACAAACTCTACATATCCCAACAGGAAACTTATCACAGAATGGTTTGGTTTGGAAGGGAGCTTAAAGATTATCCTGTTCCAAACCCTCCTTCCATRGGCAGRGAACCTTCTACTAGACCAGGWGCTCAGAGCCCCACCCAGCCCRGCCTTGAGCACTTCCMGGAACAGGGAGACCACAACCTCTCTGGGCTATAGCTCAATGAAACCAGGAATGCTACCAGAATAATCCAGGATATTGACTGCACTCAATTAAAATACTTAAATGCTGTAAGAGCACACAACTTAATAATGTTTACATTAAGTTTTAACAAAGAAAAYCCTACTAAGCTCACATTTTCCCCCAATGCCAATACTCAGACCAAACTGCAATCTGACAATAATAAGCAGTGAATACCTGGCCGACAATTTGAAAGACAAGAAGTTAAAGGGCAAGTTTATCAGAACTTTGTCAATTCTGATGGTTCTGCATAACCAGGTTTTCTCAACTACAGCCTCCAGGTTCTGATAATCTTTTACCAAGGTCAAACTGAAAATAATTTCAGCACAAATACATTACAATTACAAAACTGTACACTAACACCGTAAGTATAATTCTGGGTTCAATTAACAAATAAAAAACATTTAACAGCAGCATTTTTAGATCACTCTTCATAAAATATTCAACTAAAAAAAGGACTTACTCTTGCTTTCTTCAACTTCTGTCTGTGCAGGCAGTAGACTTTCCTTCTTTCTAATTCTAAAAGTTACTTCGTTGAAGGATGGCTTTTTAACTTCAAAAAACTCTTCATCTATCCAGAAAAAAACAAAGTGATTCTGAGTAACMTCAATAAAGCCAWCAAYATACACACACATATATGTATGTACTACATACAAAAGTGCAAGTAATCTTTATGTGTACACAGTATAACTTTTCAATCACAGAATCAATGAGGGTGGAAAGGACMTCTGAGATCAAGTCCMACCTATKACCAAACAGCAACATGTCAACAAGACCATGGCGCTTAATGCTACATCCAGTCTTTCAGTTCTGGCTGGATTAATTCTAAATATTACTATGGCTTTATCATTCATGATCCATCACTTAGTTAAAAACACTGCAGCTCAGCCTCCTCAACACAGCAACACTGCACTGCTGAAATGCAGAGTCTCTTTGCAACTTCATCATCAATCACAACAGTAACAGTGCAGTAGAGTCAATGAAACATTTTTATTTCATTTAATTAAGCTTGTTCATCATTACCTAGTCATGGAATCACACACTACTTGTTCTCTCTGGTTTTCTCCAGCTACAAGAAGATTTCAACCATTTCCCAGCCAAAAGAACATGGACATAAATAATCACCAAAGTACTTTCTACAGAATCCCAGAATYGTCAGRGTTGAAAGGGACTTCTGGAGATCRCCTTGTCCAYCCCCTKCCCAGTCAGGGTCACCTGGAGCAGGAAGCACAGAACATATCCAGGTGGGTTTGAAGTGTCTCYAGAGAGGGAAACTTCACACCYTCCCTGGGCAGCTGTTCCAGTGCTCTGCCACCCTCARTGTAAAGAAGTTCTTCCTCGGGTTGAGGAGGAACTTCTTGTGTTTTAGTTTATGGCCACTGCTCCTCATCCTAAGCACCACGGAAAGAGTCTGGCACCCGCACTGGAGATATTTATATGGACTAATGAGACCCCGCTCTCAGTCTTCTCCAGACTAAGCAGGCCCTGCCCATACTTTAGCAGGGGTTTATAGTGTAAACCCTCCCAGCAGCCCTTTTCCTGACAGAGCAACGTTAGGTGTGTTTACAGAGAAAGGCGGGAGGGTGCCCAGGCTGGAGGATGAGGCAGGAGACCAAAGCAGCCAGACCCGGAGCCCGCGGCCCTGCTCCTCGGGACACACACACACACATACACACACATACACATACACACGATCCCTCCTCACCTTCCCGCTCCTCCTCGCTGCCGAAGCTCAGCAGCTCCTTCCCGGCCCTGCCGGGCCCCGCTGCGGCCCCAGCTCGGCGCTGCCCCGGGCCCGTTCCCGTGCCCGCCCCAGGTCTGCGCCCCCGGCCGCGGGGGCTGCGCGCCGGCTCCTCGGTGGGCAGCCGCTCCTCGGTGGGCAGCGGCCCCTCCTCGCCGGACCCCGCGGGGGGATCCCCCTCAGCCTCCGAGGGCGAGCTGGCGCCGGAGTCTGGGGACGGAGCGGCGGCCGGTTCCGGCTGCGGCTCCGGCTGCGGCTCCGGCTCGTCSTCGCTGCTGCCGCTGGAGGCTGCGCGCCGCCGGCCGCGGAAGTTGCGCGGGGGACGGCGGAACATCGCTCCCGGGAATCGCTCCCGGTGATCGCTGCCGGGATCGCTCCCGGTGATCGCTCCCGGGAATCACTCCCGGTGATCGCTGCCGTGGATCACTCCTGGGAATCGCTGCCGGGGCCCGGCGCGGTCCCAACGTGGATGACAGCGCGCACGCGCGGCGACCCCGGCGCGCCCCGGCCGCGGGTGGGCGGGATCCGGGAGGGACGGAGGGATGGGCGGGGACAAGGGGAGCGGGGAAAGTGTCCCGTGAGGAGAAAGTGAAAGGCGTTTTTCTGGTCATTCGTTGATCATTGATGCCTAAAAATGTCATTTGTTTGACGAGCTGTAGGCCCCTCGGTGCAGGGGCTGCCGTGCTGGGTAGGTGCTSCCCCTGCTTCGCAGTGCCATCGAAAGCTTAGGGGGTTCTGGTATTATAAAATAYAGTTTATAAATAATATATGATAATATATTATTTCAATATGCATAAATTATATGTAAATTATACCGCGGTAATTAGTAATGAATATTTATAGACCTTGGTGATTGCTATGTATTATGTAAATKAATAGTAAATTGAAATGTAATTGCTAGTGCCTAACTACACATACATAAAATAGCTATTTTACAATTAGTAGTAACATACACTAATAATAAATAAATACACTTTATAATGCTAGGTGAGATGGAGCTCTGAGCAACCTGGTCRAGTGGAAAGTGTCCCTGYCCAAGGAAAGGGTGTTAGAACTAGATGATCTTTAAGATCCATGCCAAGCTATCCTAGGATTCTATGATTATTGCAAATACAAAACTGATTCTGTAGCTTGTTGTCAAAAATTAATCACACTTTTTTCTCCCTTTTCTCAGGCTGAGCTCACAGAAGSAGTCAGGCAGGTGCCAGTGCTGGTAGCAGGGGAGGGGAACATATGGCTGRGAACAGAAGGAAGGTGGGAATGTGACAAGTGATGACAAATTGGTTTGCTGGGAGAGGAGTTGCACTGTAGCTTGCAACAGCCTTTGATTTCTGCCGTGCTGACTTGAGCTGTGTGTGATTTGCTCTGYGGAAAGAAAGTACATCCCACTCCAAATTAAACCATGAAACCAGGCAGAGCAAGTCCTGCAAGTAAGCCTTTATGTCCCAAGAGAAGTAWCCAAAAATAGCAAATGTTTGAAATGTTCTTGCTTAAATTGCTCCACCTTTCTGTCCTTCATCTGCAAGATGAAGATACTAATATTAACTTGCCTCAGGAATCTTGTGAAGAAAAAAGCTGCATTTGTGAAGCACCAGTTACAGTAAGAATAACATAAAAACCAAGAGAAAATCAACTAAAATATATCTCTATGCAGCACTGCTTCTGAATAGTTATTAAATAAAACCCAGGGCTATTTAGTGAATACGGAAGATTATAAAAACTTTAAAGTAACCATTCAGGAAGCACAGTTCACCTTACAGCATTATTCATTTTCTGCACTGAAAAAGAGTGAGGGTCTGGTGGAAAAATAAAGTAGTTATGCAAATGATGAAATTAAACCTGTCCCTGGATTTGTAGTTAAACTGACTTATTGCAGGCTTTGACTCAAAGGTGCCTTATTGCTGTGGAATTAATAAGGTAAGGACATTCCCTGGTCTTCAGTTTCTCTGACTGAAGGGTKAAGTCAAGGATAGTCTGGGGATGCACAGGGGTATAGAGCTGCTCCATTGTGACCTGGACAAAGCGGGGTTTGCTGATATAGATTTGCCTGAAATAATGGCCATGAAGTTTTTTGTTTCTCGTTTACCGCTCCATGCGAAGCAAAGATGTTGTGAGTTTTACCAGGAACCTTTAACATCTTTGTAACAATGACAGAGCTTCATCCCCTGGCTATGTCTCTGTATTAGTGTTTCTCTTTCATCTGATTTTAAATCCTGTCAATCTAGTGAGTGCTACTCAGGCGGGACTGAGCTGGCTCCTTGTAAGACAAAATGGCCCAGAATCTCAGCATGGCAGAAGCACAGGACACAACTCTTGTACTCTTTGTCTTTCCAGCAGTTGAAACTGCCATGTTTGCAGTTGTCACTCCAGTCAATATGCTCTCTAAGTGCCCAGATACTAATCTAGGCAGTGGCATCCAATCCACGATGATCCCAGTTSGGGAGAAAAGCAAATTCAGCCGCAGCAATGCAGAGCAGCATTTCTTGGAAGGACTGCCAGTGCCAAGTGCCAATAGATTTATCTYGTTAGGCAGTAAAAGCCTTTTCCTGACACTGCTGGCACAGGACAAAACGATAATTTTGCCTTAAACTATTTAGCCGTGAAGGTTAAAGGTAACAGGTGGGGATTATTTGTCAGAAATATTAGAATAATTTGTTCTTAACTGTTGCAGTGACTCTGCAGCCAAACCATTTCTCTGGCAAATGAAATTTCAGAAAGACTCTGAAYCTAGATCAGGGAAGTAGATCAACAGGTAGTTATAGATCTCCCCTTCTAAAGGTAGAAGCAGGATAAAAGTCAGACAAACATTGCATTAAAATTCAAGTGAAGCATTAATGGCTGATCGTATCATTTATTTTCACAGTCCATTGATTTCAGCTCTTGCTTGAACTCTGTTAAACTTTAATGTCAATGTAAGTTACAAAGTCACTTGCTCTGACAGACTTTCCTCTGGTCAAAAACAACTTTCAACTGAAAAAAAACCAACCAAATGCCTAAATCTAAGAGGTCACCTCAGTTTTGGGGCAAGACTGCAAAACTATATCCAGTACCCCGAATGCAACAACTTTGTCACTGTTTTGAGGTACAGCACAACGTTGTTACTTGCAGCTGGTGGAAGAATTTGCCTTTGATTCCGTTTTTCATGGAAAAGTCCAGCAGGATGTCAGGCAGATGGGGGCAGCAGCTCCTCAAACTGTCAGCATTACATCAGCAAGCAAGAGCCACAGTCGGGGAAACGTCTGTGTTCCATCAACATAGAACTTTCTTGTAGACTTCCGTAAGCTGGCTTAAAACCACGATTTTATTCACCATGTTATTAATCATACATTTATTTTACTTGTTTTACACTGTTATGCCAATCTATCATAGTATGTATTTGCTCTATAGCATGCCTTCATCTTTCCAGAAATCTGTGAATCTGGAAAAATTTCCTTTTCACAGCAATTCACCAAACATTCAGAAATCTGAGAAGATCTATTTCAAAGTCTGTATTTATGTCATTCAACTCCTAAAAGCAATCTGCAATATATAATTCCAGAGAATCTCACAAAATTTGGTACACAAGAGATACACTACTCAAAAGTAGTACTGGTCCACAGAACTCAACAGTGTGCACCACATTACAGATTTTTAGCTTCTAAAACTGAAAAAATTGTGGAAAAAACACCCACATTTCTAGCAAATGCAGTAGGGATCCCAGCCTATTGGGATTAGGCTGGCTTCTTGGCTTGCATCAAAACTTGAGTGTGGAGAAACAAATGCATCTGAAATAAACCTGAAATGCAACTCTGGCTCACCAAAGTAATATTTACTAATTATGGCATAAGGATTGCAAAATTGCAACAAATAACCTTGCTTAACCCCATTACTCTGCTATTGTCAGCACTTGGCACTTGTGAAATTCCTGTGTGCTTGAGTGTTTCTGCCTGCCTGCACTGCAGCTAGGGGACTGCAAGTAAAACCCTTGTGTCTGCTCAGCAGTTGGCAAAATTTTATTTGCCATAATTCAGTCTGCATGAGTCAGCACTGCTTCCCTTCACAACATGGTCTGGCCTGTCTGGAAAGCTACTTTCTCTATGGTTACATAGATGTTCTGTAAATCTCAAAATAATTTCAGTGCGGTAGGCAAAGAAGCTTTTGCCATGCTGAACAAGTGCAGTCCAGCTCCCCATCCACTACTAAATATCAGGGCTTGGCAGGGAACAGAGTTGGGACATGAATATTTTATTTTATACAGCTATGAAGTAATAGAAAATCCAGCAAAATGAATACAGTGGCCATTTGTTATTTTAAAACCCGTGTGGGTTTCTGGTTCAGAAACCAAACCAACATCTCTAGAAGGACTATTTTTGCTGCAGTGTATGCTTTGTGCCTTCTACACCTCTTTGATAAATTGCTACTCAGCATCAATATCAGAAATGCACCACTCCTGTTCTGTTAGGTGTAGAAAGCAAATATTAACTTGTCCTTTTGTTTATCCCGTTGTGTTTTATGCCTCCATTTTTAAATAAAGACAGGGGTTAAAAGACAGTATCTAACATTTACTCAGAAGGAAGAAAGCAGTTAAATACTGCCATAATTATGAAACCTGMAGCACCACTGGCTGAGGGCTCATTGCTTCTGTGTTCCCTGGAGGGGAAAAAGAGGAGGTGCAAAAGAAAATTCAGCATGAATAATAGAGTTGAATCTTATAAAGGAGTCAGAGCTGTCACTCATCAGGTAGGTGTGGTTGTTCCTAAGTTGTTCTTTATAGGTGGGACAGCAAGCTGGACTCTCCAGATGAGGAAATGCCACTCATTACCAAGCAAAATGAAACAGGTCRCTACAGGAGGGATGTGTGCAGGTCACTATTGGGCAATTACTGCTTTTTGASCACTCAGAAATAGTTGTCACTTTATGTCCCTCGATCCCTAACCCAAATAGGGATATGTACTCAAAATAGGTACATTGCTGCTTTCCTTCACAGATTTTTACACTGCCCTTCTTAATCCTTAACTGTTGTAATCCGTAACTGAGCACAAAGCATGACCTATTCTTGCAGTAACTGATCTCTGGTGTGTCATTTGTGTTCTGGCTTAACTTTATATGTTTTAAACATACATTTGCACAAAAGATRTCTGTCAACAAGCTTAGACACTGCCTGGTCAGAGGGCTTAGACAAGGAGAATAAAGCATTCACTTTTGGCATGTTCTCCTGCAGCAAAACAGGGGAAATAAGCAATATCATGGAATAAACTAAGAGCAGAGGAAAAGTCACATTACCTAGCATGACTTGGTTCAAGCTAAACAACTTTATTCATCATCTTTTTTGCTGTCAGTCAAGATCTTTCCTTATTACT